GGAGGAGGAGGGGAGGGGGAGGACTACCAGGAGGAGGAGGAGGAGGAGGAGGAAGAGGAGGAGGAGGACGAGGAGGAGGAGGAGGAGGAGGAGGAGGATGAGGAGGAGGAGGAGGAGGAGGAGGAAGAGGAGGAGGAGAACGAGGAGGAGGAGGAGGAGGAGGAGGAGGAGGAGGACGAGGAGGAGGAGGACAAGGGGAATGCTCCCATATATGCTTCTACACATGCTGAAAGCATATCTGGAAACGAGACACTGCTATCAACAAGCAAAAAATGTGGCCCGGGTATGGCGGGCCACGAAGAACACGAACGAGCCACCTCTGCGGATGGCGGCGGGGGGGGCGCCGCCGCCGCCGCCGTCGCCGCCGCCACCGCCGTCGTCGACGTCACCTTTTTTGTCGCTGCCTTTTCGTCGAGATGCTGTTCGACCCAGAGATGCTCCTACACATGGCTGTTCGGTTGCTTTGCCGGGATAGTTTTCCATCTCTTGTACCTCTATTACCCGAACACTCGAGCAATCCCATCGACGAGAGAGCCAACCCTGATACGTGGAACACTGAAGCCACTATCGGTTATGGCTGGCGGCTGCTGCGACGGAATGGCGAGTTGATGAGAGGGGACTTGGGAGGAGAAGGAGAAAGGTTATGAACGGGCAAGATCAATAAGGCTGACGATGACCTGTCCACCGACTTGCCACTTGAGCACCTCGCTCTTGTACCATGCAAGCGCGAATCCTAGATATAACGAGATGCCAAGACACACTAGCAACACTACGATCGGAACATGCAGGGACCAGAAGATGTTCAGAACCATATTCCGTGCAGCTCGGGGTATTTTGCGGATCGTCTCGAACAAGAGCTGGATCCGATCGACCTTCAGCCTGGGTGCAGCCACGTCCTGCCCAGCATACTTCTTGATGGCGGCGTCGACCGATTTGGGGGCCTTCGAATTAGACGCCCAACCATCGGACACCGCTTTGGCGACGCCCTCGAGCGAGCAATCCTTGATCTCGATACTTCAACCAAGGACCGCCTTAATCAACGCCTCGTGCGTAGGGATCAAATGGCGCGGATTTCCTGGCGGCACCGGTGCCTGGGACGGGCGCCCGAACCCGCGCGACTGCCGGCGACCTTTGCCCCGGAGGGGCCTGATGGAGCCGTCGGCGCGATCAGAACCGCTGCGGCCTGCACTTCTTCTTTGAGTTGGGGGCCAATGGCTTTGGTAATCAACTCCCTCTGCCTGGCAAACTCGGCATCGCGTTGTTTTTGCGCCGAGTCTTTGATATAGTTCCGGAAACGCTTGCTCTTCTTGGCTAAGAACGCCTCGGCCTCACGAGTCTTCTCATTAGAGTCCGTAGAACCACTGGATGAAGATGATGATCTTTTTAATCGTTCTTCAACCGCTTTTTGGATTTCGTCGACTTGGTCTTTTCGGCTGCCTTGTCTAACACGGCCAATCGCTCTTCTGCGCTCTTCCACTGCTCGTGACGGCCGTGGGAATACTCTTGGCGGCCACGCGAATACCCTTCTTTCCTCTTGTGGCGCTCATCCCGCGTCATTGGCTGGAGAATGCTAGCTAGCACTGGTCTTGGGTGAGTGGTGGGGGGATTGGATACTCTTTCGGGCCAGCACGACGGCGGGGAGGGGAGGGAGAGAATGGGCGAGGGCAATCACGAAGGAGAGGGGTATCCGAGCCTAAGAAGCTCCAGCAATTGGAGTGCTTGCACGTTATTGTCTGGGGTGCTCCATGGTCTTTGACTGTCTCTCAGGTGCATGAGCGGGGGCCGGGCCATGGCCCCGGGCGCCACCACGACTCTGGCAGTGGGCGCCGCGTTGGGCGCGCCCGCGGCCTGGGCGAGGTTGCGGCTGGCGGGCGGCTGGCTGGTGGCGGTGGTGGCGGCCTTCACCGCCTGCCCGGCCTGCGTCGTGTGCCAGGCGTCCGCGTGGCCGCCCTCGCCGCCGCCGCCCCCGCCGCCGCCGCCCCCAGGCTCAGCGCGGCGAGCGTCGCGGCGGCGGTGGCCGAGGAGCTGAGGCCGCTGCTGGCCAACAGCCCCCCTCAGGCGCCGCCGACCTGCCCCTCGGCGGAGGCGGAGGCCGCGGCGCTGCTGGAGAGGGCCCCGTTGACCGTGGGGGCCGAGGGCCCATTGGGCGCGGCGGAGGCGCCCGTGGCCGGCCCGGCCTTGGTGCCGGAGCGCGGGCACAATCACGCCACGGGGCACCGAATCACATGGTCGGGTCCCCGAAATACGCAGGCCGGCCCGCCCCCCCTCGGGGCGGGCGCGCGGTGTTTGAACCGCCGCACGGGACACGCTGGCCCTCGGCGCGGAGAGCCGGCGGGGCCAAGGACGTGCCCGGTCCACAAGCCGGCCGCCGGCGCGGGCACGCTGTCCCCGCATGACCGGCCCGAGCCGCCCTGGGCCCTCTGGCCTGGGGCAGCACGGCATGCCTTGATTGGCGTGCGCAGCTGAGGGCGCACTGGCTCCTCGTTAGTTTGCGCGCGCAGCGACAGCGCGCCGGCCGGGGCGCACTGGTATCCCGCCGACCGCGCGCCGCGGGCCCACGGAACATCCGCGAGGTGCCGCCGGCGGGGCCGAGGACGTGCTCGGTCCACCGTCCGCGACGTGGATTGCCGTGTGCCGCCCGGGTGTCAGCCTGGGGTAGGCCGCCCAGGCCTTGTAGACTTGGGGTGGCTCTTCCTGGGGTCCGACGCCACGAAGTCCCGATGCTTTGCTGTCACCGTTTGCCGCAAACAGGGGGGGTAAACCGCCCTGGAAAGGTGCGGGCGGGCGGGTCTCAAATCCCAAGGGCCCCCCCCCCCGCGCGGCCCTCGGCGCGGCTGAGGAGACGGACGGCTTTCGGGTCGCGTTAGTTTAGGCCCCCCCCACGCGCCCCCCCCGGCCAGCCGCGCGTGCCCAGCCCGACCCAACCCAAAGCCGGGGCAAGCGAAACCAGCCGCGGGGGGCGCAATGGAGGGGTGGGCCCACCTGACGGCGCACCCCCTGACCTCCCCCTGGCCCTGACGCACACGCCGCCCAGAGACATCCGCCTCCCCCGACCCGCGGAGCCACGGCCGCGGGCCCTCGGGCGGCGATGGTCACGGGCCCAGCCCGACACCCCGGAGGGCGGGCAGCGTCCCATGCCCACCGCGCGCCTCGAGGCCACGCGGCGCGCCACCGCGGCGGCGGCCTTGGACGTGTCCAGGCGGAAAGAGTGTGAGCGAGGAGAAGGGCGGGGGGGCGCGCATCTTTTAGCGGCAAAGCCAAGGGGGAGGTGCCACGACATCATCACGCCACGGGGCGCCGAATCACACGGTCGGGTCCCCGAAATACGCAGGCCGGCCCGCCCCCCCGCAGGTTGTGTGGGGGCCGCCTGCCGCCTGTAGCGTTGGCCGTTACATTCGAACTGCCCCCGACTCGCCCTGTCCCGCGTGTCGCGTGCTTCTGCCGTTGGGGGGGGCGTGCGCCACAACCGCTCGGCCCCGGGGCGGAGACGAGCCAAGCGGGGGCGGCGGGGGACGGGGGCAACCCCCTTTGCATTGGTTGCGGCGAACGCCCCCCCGTATATAACCTCGAGCGCCTCCAGGGTGCTCGCCGTGCTGGGCGTCGGCGCGGTCCTGCCGGGCGCGGCGCTGCGGCGGCTGCTCCAGCGAGCCAGCCGGCGGGGGCGCCAGCTAGCGGCGCGCGTCGGCGAGCCGCGACAGCGCGGTAGGGCCCGCGCGCGCGACGTCCAGGCCGAGCTTGCGCAGCGGGGCAGTGCGGACCCGCTCCCTCATGCCGTCGATGGGGACCGCGTAGAAGCCAACGACGACGTCGTTCGCGTTCAGCTTCGCGTTCTCTGGGGTGGGCACGGACTGCAGCCAGTCGATGGTCGCCGAGCCTCGGCTGCCCACTCCTCGGACGATGCAGGCCGCGTTGCAACGCGCGGCCCCTGGCGGCGCTCGCGGCGGCGTTGGGCGCGGGCGTGCGGCCGCGCTGCAGCGCGCAAGAGACGCAGCAGCTCAGTGTGGTACTGCGTCGCGGCAGCCACGACGCTGGCGCGGCGGGCGCGGAGCCGCCCGAGCGTGACCTGCTTGTCATCCGAGTCGAACGTGATCGCGCCCAGCAGCGCGGCGAGGGTGCCTGCGTCCACGGAGCCCAAGTGCAGCGCGGTCAGGGCACGGCGTCGCCGGTCGTTGTGCGCCAGTCCTCCTTGGCGGCTGCCACGGCAGCTGCCCATGCCCCCGCGTCCATGCGGAACGAGGCGGGGAAACGCGGCACTGCCGCGCTGAGGCTGTGGCGCCGGGACAGTGCCGCTGCCTCGGCCTGCTTCTCCGGTTCTCCAGGTCGCGAGAACGCGTCCGCGGGGTTGCTCTCGGACGCGACCCATTCGCTCCAGAATTCTACGCCGAGGACTCCCAGCAGGAGACAGATCGCTCCGACGATGTCCTTGCTGTGATCGTCGTTGGCGGCGCCGCTGAGGATGTTTTCAAGCGCGGGCGTGTTGTCCTCAAAGAGGATCAGCCGGGCCCCGCGGAGCTCGTCGGGGCAGGTGAGGAGCAGCGCCAGTACGGCGAGCAGCTCGGACTGTGTGTTTCGCTGCTTCTTGCCGACCCTCAGCAGCTCCGCGCGCAGGTGCTGCGGGATGTGCGCCGAGAAGCTGCGGCCGCTGCGCCGCGAGGGCAACAGCATGCCCCCGATGGCCCCCGTGCCGGTGTCCATGTCCCATGGCCCGTCGACCCATCCGAGGACGACGGGCCGCTGGTCGCCGTGCACGCGCCTGTGGTATATCGGGCAGCGCATCAGCGCCTTCCACCACGCGAGCGCGTCAGCGAGGCGTTCGGACCAGCCGCCTCGGTGCGCCGACACGTTGGAGGCGTATGCTCGGCCGATGCGGCCGAACATTGCCGTGGTGGCGAAGCCCATCTGTCCTCCGAGTCGGGCCGCGTCGCGCCTGCTGAGGCGGCGCGCGCGGAGCGCGGAGTCCACGTCCGCGGCCAGGTCGTCGCGCCGCTTGGCGGTGAGGCGCAGTCCCGCCCAGTGCCCGGTGGAAATGACGTCCAGTCCGAGCAGCCCCAGCACGGCCGCTGGTCCCTGGTTCTTGCCGTCCTTGAGCGGGGTGCCGAGCATGGCGTGCAGCTCCCGGAACACCCGCTCGTGCAGGGCGGCCCATCTGGCCGGGGAGGCGCGGTGGAAATCGTCCACGTACGCGTTCTGGGGAACGCTGAAGATGCGGCGGAGTGGGTGAATCACGCTGGCGGCGACGCGCGTGTACCCCCCGACTGCTCCGAAGGCCACGAAGGGGAGCGCCTTGTGCGCGAAGGCGCGGCAATCGCCCTCTGGCCCCACGGTATCGCCCCAAACCAAGCACACCAGCAGTGGAATGTCATCTGGATGTACGGGCCATTGTCGGTAGGCCTGCGCGTGGTCGCCCTTTGTGATGAGGGGGGCGCCGTCGTCGCCCCACTCGCGGAACTCCTCCGCTATGAACGCGACCGCGTCGAGGAGAGAGGCGATGCCTGCCATCCTCATGCGCTCCTGGGTGGCTGCTGCGAGGTTCAGGCCGCTTGCCGTGGCGTCGTCTATGGGCCGGACCTTGTATGAGGTGGCCGTGCGGTCTTGGACGCGCGGGAAGCGCCGCGTTGGTAACCATCTGGCAAACGGCACGGTGGAGCGCACCTGGCCGGTGTGGTCGAGCCATACTTCCCAGGGCCCATCGAGCTTGCCCGACACGCGCTCGGCCTCGGTGACCCGGAGGACCTCGGCCATGTCTGGCTCCCGCTTAGTGTTCAGGAGCATTTCCCGAAGTGCGGCATCCCTGTTGCCCAGTGCCAGCTCGAGAGCGCTGTCCAGCTCGGCGGCGTCAGGCAGATCTGCGCTGTCGGTGTGCTCGTAGAGCCGCGTGTCTGGGAGGGCGCCCCGCATGCGGAAGCCCGCCGTGATGTCGGCGATGACCTCCGTGTCGTCATGGCCGGAAGCCAGGAGCAGCTCCCTGTGCAGTGGGCCGTTGTATGTTGGCGGCAACACGTCTTTGACGTGCTGTGAGAGGCCGGCGCGCCGCTCAGGGATGCCTCGGCGCGATTCCAGTACTGCACCTGCCCGATTACCCAGCGTTCGTAGTCGGGGCAGTCGCGCGCCCAGAGCAGTGCGCTACGGATGGGCGCTGGCGTGCGCACGGCGGGCGGTTCCGCCCACTGGGGCGCGGGCTGGCGTTGTTGCCGGTCCCAGGCCATGTCCACGTGCTGGTTCGGCGAGATCTAAAGCCTTTAGCTGCTCTGCCTGGCGCGGCAGGGTGCTGTGGCGGGGAGACAGTATCCTCGGCGTACCACGGCATGGTGTCTCTGCGCGCGCTTTGCTGGCTGCGCGGGTCGGCGGGCGGCGGCGCGTAGGGCGGCAGCTGGTTTGCGTCGACGGCGTCGAATTCTTGTTCGGCCGCAGGGTCGTGAAGCCTCGCTGCAAAATCGACCATGGTGATGCCGCTGCAGGTGCTGCCCGTTTGGTCTGGGGCATTGGTGGTGCCACCTGAGGACGCGAGGGTGCCCGCGCCGCGGTGCTGAGGCGGGCTGGCGCTCGTGCGCGGGCGTGGAGCTGGGTCGCCCTTCGTGGGCTGTGCGGTGGCGGCCGCTGTGGCGCGGCTCTGCGGGCTGGTGCGCGCCCGCGGGTGGAGCTTCCGGCGCTGGTCCCGGCCGGTCGCCCCAGTGTGAAATTGCGGTGGGTCCCGCTGTGGACGGCTTTTAGCCCAGTCGCCGGTGGCGGGGTGAAACTGTCGGCGTGCTGCCGGTTGAGAGTCGTGGTGGCGCCCTCGCCGCCGCCGCCGCCGCCCCTGGGCTCAGCGCGGCGAGCGTCGCCGCGGCGGTGGCCGAGGAGCTGAGGCCGCTGCTGGCCAACAGCCCCCCTCGGGCGCCGCCGACCTGCCCTTCGGCGGAGGCGGAGGCCGCGGCGCTGCTGGAGAGGGCCCCGTTGACCGTGGGGGCCGAGGGCCCATTGGGCGCGGCGGAGGCGCCCGTGGCCGGCCCGGCCTTGGTGCCAGAGCGCGCGCTCGCGCTGGTGTGCTCCTGGCTGGTGGCAGGGATCGAGTTCTTCGTGCTGATCAGCTGCTGCGTGGTGGCTCGCTGTCGGCGCCGTGCTCGCGGTAGCTCAGAGGAGACGCCGCGGAACGGGCATGATCTAGCCCGACGGATCGAGCGCCGCGGTGGAGGAGTGGTGCGCTGAGCTCCGACCGGGGATCCGAGTGGGGCTATGGTATCCGCGCGATACGGTGTGGCATGAGAGGCTGCTCCTTTTTCCCGCGGGAGGCACCTACTGGTGGGTGCTCACGCTGGACATGGTCTCGTACGTCGAGGACGTCGCAGCGGTGGTGGGAGACGGCTGCAACATGGCCTTCGCGTGCAGCCCGAGCGGAGTCCTGCCTGCTGCGGCGCGCGGGAGCTTCTACAGGTTCTCGGGGCCCGTGCGCACGGCCCAGTTCCGCTCCCTCGTCCTTCGAGCGCGCGCCGCTCAAGCCGAGCACGGTGCAGTGGAGGGCCCCGAGCAGTACTTCACCTGGGAGGGCGAGCTGACGGCCTTCTCGGAGCTCCGCCGTCGCCTCCCCCTCTGCGTCGCGAGTGAGGGGGCGGGCGGGGCGGTGGCGCCGCCTGGTGCCGACGCTGGGCCGCTGGTGGAGGCGGCCGCTGCGGGCGCCGAGAGCGCCCCGCCGGCCCTGGACCCTCCTGAGGGATGCGCCTGAGTCGCGGCCCCCCCTGGGGCGCTGCCTGTGGGACGCGAGGTGGCACTCGCCGAAGGCAGCGTGCGGCTCGACGTCCGCCACGCCGCCTCCCGTGATGGCGAGAGCTGGCAAGTCGCGGAGGCGGTCCCCGTGGAGAAGGTCGACGGCTACCGTCGTCGGCGGCCCAGGGTGCTCATGAACCTGCTGGAGGACCCGAGCGACGGCCGCCGCGCGGCGCCAGGAGGGGGCCCCGAGTCCGCCGTGGTGCCCATTGCCGCTGGGGCTCCCGACTTGGAGGCAGGCGACAGGGACCTGCGGGACCGGCTTGGGGTGTCGGCACCCGAGGGGGCGCCCGATGCCGAGGTCGCTGATGACGGACGTGAGGACGCTGTGGGTACAGCATGACGAGCGTGGGGGGCGCCACAAGCCCTGGCGCGAGGTCGTCCGCGAGGTGAAGCGGCACACCTTCCGCGACTGGCCCTTAGAGGACGGCTTCTCCACCGTCGAGTACATGATCAAGAAGTGGGAGCAGAGCGGTGGCAACCCCCTGCTGTGGCTGGAGATGTGGGCGCGGGATCGGCACGTCAGCTCGTCGGACCGCACCTGCATCGAGATGAAGTGCTTGCTCTCGGCGATCAACTGCGCTGGGAGTTACGACCAGCTCAACTTGGCCAGCGTGGCCAGAGCCGTGGAGCCGCTCGGCTCGCCAGGCGGGCCTGCCGTGACTTCAATGAGGTTGTCGATGCCTTGAATTGGTGGGTGAACCGAGCCACCGCGGGCGCCGAGCCCAATTTTGACCAGATGAGGGTGCGCGCGCGGAGCCTCGAGTGTGTGGGTGACAGCCTGCCGCCTTTGGAGACCGCGATCCCCTCCCCGCGGGCAGCCTTCTCAGATCTGCTGCACGGCCGCAGTGTTTATGACGAGTCGGCGGGGCGGAACGTCGGACGTCTTCGCAGTGTGGGGCAGATATCCTTACCTGAGACCGCGGTGGGAGGGCCACGGCTGCTGGACATCGCACCTGCCCTTGCACGCCAGTTCCTCGAGGACGGTTTCTCTCGGATACTTCTAGATGAGGTTTGTTTGCGCCGTCGACTGGATGAGTGTGACATCATCCCTTACTGGGGTCCGTCGTTGGCTCGCAACCGCAGGCTCTATGTACGTATGATAATATTACTCCAAGGGCATGCTGGTGTTTTTGGATGAAGCTGAGCGCCGCGAAGAGGTCGGAGTCTTCTTCGTGGTCAAGAAGTCTAGTCAGCTTCGTCTCATCATCGACGCCCGACGGGGCAATCTCCGCTTCACACCTCCCCCTGGCGTGTCGCTGGTGACGGCCGAGGGGCTCGCGCGCATCGAGGTTGAGAGCAATGACGTCCACGTCGGCGCGGACCTCGGCTTCGCGCTGGAGACCTCCGACATCAGCGACGCCTTCCATTTTTTCAGGATTGACCGAGGCCTCTCTGGCTACTTCTGCATGCGGTGCGTAACGGCGCAGGAGGTCGGCCTTGTGGGCGCCAGCATCGGGGGCCTTGCGGCGGCGCCCGACCGCCGGCTGGTGCCCGCGTGCGCCGCCCCGCCGATGGGTTTCGCTTGGTCGCTCTACTTCTGCCAGGAAGTGAGGTGGGCTGTGGTGGGCGCTACCCCCGAGCTGGAGCGGGTCCACCGCATGAGCGACCGAGGGCCTGCGACAGCGCTGCGCCCGTCGGCCCCGCTGTCAGAGGGAGGAGGAGCTCAGTGCACCTACGTGGACAACCTCGGAGTGCTGGGTTTCGACAGCGGGGACGTCTCCAGCAGCCTTGCCGCCGCCGCGGCGAGGTTCGACGCCGCGGGCCTGCAGACGCACGAGACGGAGATTCAGAAGGGCCGCGGCGAGACGCTGGGGCGCGTGCCGGATGAGAGGTCCTTGACAACCAGGCTCACCGCCAAGCGCTTCTGGCGGGTCCGCCATGGCATCGCGTGGGCGCTGGGCTGCAGGGCCCTGCCGGGGTGGGTGGGCCACTGCGCCTACTGCGCGATGTGCAACCGGGACCTCCTCCCCGTCTTCAACGCTATCTACAAGTTCATCGCGGCCCACTACCACCAGGGGGCCCCGCTGTGGCCGTCGGCCCGAACCGAGCTGGTCGCCTTCCGCGGGCTGATGCCGTTGCTGCGGGGCGACTGGGCGCTCCCCTGGTGCCCGCTGGTCTGCCTCTCCGACGCGTCGGGGCACGGCTGCGCGGTGAGCGCCTCGCTGTTCGACCGGGCCGCCGTGATGGAGATCGGGCGGGTGCAGGGGCGCTCGCGTTTCCGCCGTCTGGGCGGGCTCTCGGCACGGGCACATTTCTTTGCCAGCAATGGGATTGAGATGGCTAGCGGTGGAAATTTCAAAGAGCGAGCAGAGCTTGATGAGCTCGATGTGATCGCACCTCAGACCGAGTGGGGGGTCGATAGAAGCTTCATGGAGATGGCAGCGGAGATCTTCTCGGGGTCCCGCTGGACAGAGGTTGTCGCCCGCGGGTGGCACAACACGTCAGAGGACATTCTCGTTTATGAATCACGGGCCCTCCTGAGGGCGATGGAGATACAGTGCAGTCTGTCGCCGCGGGAGGGAGAGCATGTCGTTGTCATGAGTGAGAACCTGCCTGCAGTGCTTTGCTTCGGGAGGAGGAGGAGAGCGAGAAACTTCGTTTCTCTCGCCTGCATCAGGCGGGCCGTCGCCCTGGGGCTCTGCCTCAACAGGCGCCTCCATGTGATATGGGTCCTGAGTGAGCTCAACCCGAGCGATGAGGGCTCTAGGCTGTATGGCCCGAGCTACGACCCCAGCAAGACTCTGGTGAACTCTTGGGAGGCCTCCAAAGATGATGACAATACTCTTGTGAATCATAGACTACCACAACATGTGCATGAACAAGATAGCGCACATAACAAGAGCATGCATTACCGCAGGCACGTGGATACGGTTATCAACGCGAACAGCAAGTTCGGCAACTATGAGAGCAAGAGTGAGCACGTCAGCTTAGATCCCAGCAGCAACTTGGCTACAGCAAGCAGCAGAGGCAGGACAACTCCGAAGGCCTCTACGCTAAGTGCCAGGTCGCCCCCTTCAGGGACCCCGCGCGCGTGCTCCTGCAGCCCCCGACGAGCCCGTCGAGCCCATCAGCGCCCCGAGCTTCCGAGACCTCTAGCAGCCCCAGGAGACTCAGTCCGCTGCGGCACCCACTTCGGCTCGTGAAGGCGCCCCGTT